CAATATTATGGGCTTAGCTAAAAAGGCAAAAAAAAAAAATCAAATTGAATACAAATATACAGTTGCGACGACAAGTCTGCAACTGCGACGACCAGGTCTGCAATTGTGATGGCCAGATTCGTAATTTGCGACGGCCAGATCCGCAATTGCGACGGTAAACTGGTTGAATTTGATATTTTTTTTCTCTTTTAGCTAGGCCCGTAATATTACGGACTTGGATATTAAAAAAATAGTGACATTTAGGTCAACCCGGTAGAGAAATGACGAGAAAACTAATTTGTATGTGTGTAATGGTAATTTAAGCTAATTGTACTTGAATAAAATACTTATATTGTATAATTGAATAAAATAGTTATATGATGTCCCATGGCATGTGATTGATGTGATGTCCACCATTCATCACAGGGACCATGCGACTGTATTTCATTAAATGATGGGTCCCGCCCATTCATAAACCCGATCCCCATGCTCCTTCCTCACACCCCATCCGTACACATTTACATTTTTATTCAGGTTTTTGTTGTATGGTGAACCACGGTGTTAAAACAAGAAATTTCATGGTCCAAATTTCGATCATTTTAAATTTTATATTTATCTATTAATTGTATTTTAGATAGGAATTTATTCGATGTATCTTAATATATTTTATTAATGTTGATATTTAATTATGATTGATTTAATGGTGAAGATATTTTATTACGTTTTTCATAATAATCTCATTTTTCATGGTACATTTTTATTTATGTTAAAATCAAATCAAATTATATAATAAAATTTTAAATTTCCTTTAAAATCGTGTCAATTCATGCATTGATAATGTAAAAAATGAGTTTTGATATTGATGTGTGTGAATAAGAAATCACTAGATAGAAGTAAATTTAGTAATATAGAAGGACGAATTATGGGCCGTTTATCAAACACTTACCCGGTAAGCGCTTGCCGGTAAAATGTAACACTATCGTTTACTTGCTTGGTAAGATTTTAGTCCGTCAAAATGATATCATATGCAACAATTTACCTGGTAAGCATTTATCGTGGTAAGAGTCGTCGCCCTCACTTAAATGAACCCATTTTCTACCTTACTTGAATCCTTTTCTATTTATTTCATATTTACATGCGTTTATTTCAATCTATTTGTTTTTATTTATTATTTATCATTTAAATAATTAGATTTAATTTAAAACGTATAAATGGCAACAATCATATAACCTATATTGTGACATTTGTGGAAGAGGTTATTTGTTTATCTTTTAACAGTTTCATTAGAGGTGAATCTTGGTTGATACGAAAAAAGTCTGTCTCTTAATAATTTTAAAACCCTCTGAATGATTTTGTATCATGAGTCTCCTTTAACCATTCAGCGTCTTAAATTCATTGTAAACAATTACCAAATAATTATATTTTATTTTTGCATTATATCATGAGAGACTCTTAATCATTCTGCACCAAATCATTTAGCAACTGCCAAACAACACTAGGCATTGACTATTTACATTTACTCCATACATAGTTCATTTTATCTCGTTGTCAGTGAGAGACAAAACGAATAGTTGAGTAATTTTTATTTTAGCTAATTTAATGCTCTTTTTGGATCGTTCGTACCATTTGTTCTAAAAATAATTACCTGATTTGTGATTTTCAGTTGCAATAATTATATGTTAAGTTAATTTACCTTTCATTGTAAATTATCTAATCATTTAAAAGTCAAATAATCAGTTGTAATGGACCTGAGGATATGACAAATTATATCCATATCATCATTTTATATACAATTTTACTAAATAGCCGTAAATTGCAAAACATTTGACACCATTAACATTGACTATTAGTACTTGAAGCAACAAAAGCACATTCAGACATCGTCGTTAATTCACAACCAGTTATCTAATTCTAATAATTCAGTATTACATAATCTCTTTCAAAACACATATTCGAACACAATTGCAAGTTGTAAGTTATTATTCTCCGACGTTGGTTCCCAAACAAACACACGTTACAAAATTCAAGTAATATCTAAGAACAGAAAAGTAACATGTTTAGAATTTGTTGTCGAATAATTTTGAGTTAAACAAGATTCAACGATTTTCATCTAACAAGGAGGTGGATATCTTTTCAAAATGTGTTTTTTTTTTCATTTCGTTGAAAGTTCAACTAAATTCAGTGTTTATTGTTTTATGTCAAGAAAATACAGTAACTTATGTTATAGATTAAACACAATGCATCAAAATACATTCAAGTTTGTCTTAATTTATATGTAATATAATGATTTGTTCTCAATTAATGTAACAAACGTTAAATTCTTCATATTTCGTACCTATTTTCAACAATGACTGACAAATACTGTAACTATTAGTGACATTGATGCTAAATTGTCAAATTACATTGTAATATCGAATTATGTAGAAAAACGATACATCAAAATCAACCAAAGGGGCTGTTTACTTTCGTTTTTCATCAAGTCTTGTATGGATTAAGCTGTCTGTCTGGATACATTTTTTGTATGAAGGACGAGAGGCTGATGGGCTTGAGGGAGGCAAAGAAAGAGGGTTGGATTATTTCTGGGGCATTTGTGGTGTTAATTTATTTGAGGTGGCTTAACGGGGACAAGTAAAGGGTCCTGACTTATTCCACATGGCCATTTTTTGGTTTAATGACTTAACGATTAAGCCATAGAGAAACACTCCTATATGGCTGATCGAATAAGCCGTCCAACCCACTAAGCTGTAAGTAAACAACCCCAAAATCACATATACAGAACCTCGTTTATCATATGAAACATATTTAAAAAATGAACCATTTATTACATTAACTAAAAAAGGATATGATTAAACTAAGTCAAGGTTAATGCAAAATTACTTAAATTTTTTATGCATTTTATCTTGAAGATACACACACACACATATATATATATATATATATATATATATATTTTGATTAATCTGGATATCCAATCCGCTATACGCGCCGACTAATCCTAAGGTGATCATCTGCTTTGCAGATAGTCCGGAGTCACCGCATTTGAACCTCCGTGGCCACAAGGGGATTTTTATTCTTCCTTGAATTTGAACCTGAGACCTCCTGGTACTTTTGACCTTTTGATTCAAACTCAAATCAATCAGGCACCACTCTTATAGTTAAAATACATATATTTTTAATACAAGTTTAAATGGTTGTCAAGAATTTATCCTAATTTGATAAGGTGGAAAATGTTATATTTGTATTTATATTCTTTAAAGATAACCAATAATTTGCCTTTATTTATTTGATGTTTTAATGAACCTAATAATGACATAAACATGTCTTTTATAATGTTTGGTTGCAAAAGACAAAACAACTTATACTTTGGACATATTATGTAAATAAAGCATGTTATCACATAAGTATTTTTAATGTCCAAATTATATCAAATTGTATATGAGAAGAAAATTAATAGAAATAGATGCATTAAATAATATATAGAGATGTATTTAGAAGTCGTTTACCAAATACTTACTCGGCAAATGCTTATCGGTAAAATTTAACACTACTATTCACTTACCGGGTAAGATTTTAGTCCACTAAAACGATATCGCATGTAACAATTTACACGGTAAGCGCTTACCGTGGTAAGAATCGTCGCTCTCACTTACCGGGTAAGACTCTTTGGTCCCTGTCTCGTTCTTACCGGGTAAGATTATTGGTCCGCACCATATTCATCCGGTGAGGTAATTTGACTTGGTAAGCGCTTACACAGATAGGCGTTTAGTAAACAACCCCTTAGTTCGCCCTTGAATAAAAGTTAACATCAGGACATTTTTTTATAGATTTAATTTTAGAGCATCACCAACAGATTCTCTAGAAGTTTTCCAAAATGGAGAACTGAAGTTCAAAATTTCAAAATTTATTTTTATTCAATTCCAACGGATTCTTCATTTTGAAGATTACAACATTACTTTTTACATTTTAGAGAAAGTTTTTGAGACTTATTATTGAAGTAAAAAAATTGTCCAAAATCCTTAGTTTCTATATTTTAAAGAATCTATTTAACATGCTCTTACAAAATTAAGTCTTTTCAAAATTAATTAAAATAAAAATAAAATTGTCCACTTTTTGTAGGCATACATTTCAGAGTTTGTGTAATTGAAATTTACATTTTGTAAATAAAATATGATTTTGATAGGTTATTTCGTAAGCCACCAAGTAGATCTCACAAGTTAAAAAAAACATTTTGTAAACCAACTCAACTAAAATCATATTTAATTTAGAAATAGGTTTCATAAATCATAAACGTGACATAATTAGTTTGATCAATTTCTCTAGAAAATCTCTATACCACTAAAACTTTACCCACAAAATCAAAATTCCAGTATTTCATAACGGTTTAGAACAAGACAATCCAACCCAAATGGATATGAAATATTGAGATTTGAGATTTATGTACCTCCATCTACTAATTTCTTCTTCATTACATATATTAATATCAAGACTTACTTTTACATTCATGATATATGATTTGATCTGATTCTAACATTAAATGAGGTATATATATCTGAACAAAAAGTTAAATGCTGACATCCCAACCCGCCTCTAAGGACACCAGCGTGAGGGAGAAAAAATAAACAGCTAAGGCTAACAGGAAGCTTGAAATCGATTCCAAAAAGTGTCTTGTATTTAAGCAAAATTATCTCGCTTGTTTATCAACTAAACTAACATTGTTCTAATGATTTTATAAATATAAAAAAGAAATTAATAGATAAAAGTAGATTTTCTATAAATTTTTGTGAACAAAAATGTTGGATTTCATAAAAACACCAAACCAATCGGATTCTGAAACTTGCCCCATGAATCACCCCCTCAAGGAAATCAAAATAAATTAAAAGCAGACAAATGGAGTCTCTGACACCCACTCTGCCCCGTGACTGATCATAAAACACCCCCACTCACACTTTTAATTTTTCTCATATCTTCGATTCACTGTCAAATTATTTGCTCAAATGGCTTCTTTCTTCCTTCTCCTCATCGTTTTCATGGTCCTCTGTTTTCATGGACACTCGATTACTCACTGGGAAGATGTTCAAGCTCTCAAACAGTTCATTAATGGCGTCCATTCCGACTCCATGGCTCCTGGCTCCTGTTTAGCTTCCTGGGATTTCTCCGTCGATCCATGTGACTCGCTTTCCGGCGACAAATTCACCTGCGGTATACGATGCGACGTCGTAATCTCCGGCGTTACCCGGGTCACCGAGCTCACTCTCGACCAGGCCGGTTACACCGGTTCACTCGCCTCCTCATGGAACCTTCCTTACCTTCAAACCCTAGACCTCACTAACAACTACTTTACCGGTTCGATTCCCGGTTCGTTTTCCCGGTTAACTCGTTTGCAGCGGCTCAGTCTGTCCTCTAACTCGCTCAACGGCTCAATCCCTGACTCGGTTGGGGCGTTTCCTGACTCACTCGAAGAGCTTCTTCTCGACAACAACAATCTCCAGGGTCCCATCCCACCAACTTTTAACAGTCTTACGAGTTTAAAAAGGCTCGAGCTCCAAGGTAACAGACTCAGCGGTGAGTTCCCCGAGTTGAGTCAACTCAGTAACCTTTACTTCCTCGACGCCAGCAACAATGCCATTTCCGGCGAACTTCCCTCGACTTATCCCGGCAACCTCATCGAACTAACCGTCAGAAACAACTCACTACAAGGGAATATTCCGGCGAGTTTACTCAATAACTCGGTTTATCTCCAAGTATTAGACCTGAGTTACAACAATCTCACCGGAACCCTTCAGCCTGAGCTTTTCACCCACCCATCTCTAGAACAGCTCGTACTAGCATACAACCGGTTCCGGTGGGTTCAAGTTCCGGGCAATTGGGGGCGGAACAGCGAGCTGATAGCCGTCGATTTGAGTAACAACGATATCCATGGGTTCTTACCCGGGTTCTTGGGTTGGATGCCGAAGCTATCGGCTTTATCTTTGGAAAACAACAAGTTTTCCGGTATGATTCCGACGCAGTATGCGTTGAAGGCGGTGACGGCGAGTCCTGCAGGAGTGGCTCCGTTTGAAAGACTGTTATTGGGTGGGAACTACTTGTTCGGGTTGATACCGGGTCCGTTTTTGCAGTTGAAATCCGGGTCGGGTGTAACGATCCGATTAGGGGATAATTGCCTGTACGAATGCCCACAGAGCTTTTACTTCTGTGGAGGAGGGGTACAGAAGAGTCTGGTGGAATGCAAGACTTTTAGCCCAGTAATTCCGTGAGTGGGGTTGTAATTGTACCCTCTATAATTCAAATTTTATTTGGTTTCTATTAGAATTATTTTAGTGTGAAATAATGATTTTTTTTAAATTTTAATTTGTATTTTTTTTTAAAGAAAAAATGTATATTTATATATAATTATGGATAACTCGGTCAACTTATACATATATCTCTATTAATTTCATATGCCTTTGATTTTAACGACTAGGGTAATTGATTTTTGGTTGGTTTAATCATTAAATATTGTATGGATAAAGTTGTCTGTATATTACTCTGTCTGCACAGATTGAAATGTTTTTGTTTGGGACGGCTTTTTATATGGATGCAAGAATCTTGTTTTAATTAGAAATAAGTTTATAAAAAACTTGGCTTTCTGCATAAACTCTTATAGAAGTTTACCGAATAAGCCACTTTTTTATATCATTACGTCACTACCAAACAGTTATATATAGTTGATAGAATAAGTTGTAAGTTTTATGTAACACCCCGACTCCCATTTGTATAAAATTCACAGATTTCATATAACATGAATTACAAATATTACACATTGGTCCCAGTGGTATTTATATTGGTACATGCAGAAGTAGCTACAAACTTTTTGCTCACATAAAGTACACGCATAAACTCAGCTTCTCAAAATCCACAAATGCAAAACATTTAACAATTCCCTTCACATCTTTTCCCTCCATTTACCTTTCACAGTTACTCGACTTGTAATGCACATTTTAAAAAAAATAAAACGAAGGTTAGACCATAAGGTATAGTGAGTAATTCCTTTAATTGCTATTACAGATTGAAGATCATCAAAATACCTTTTGCAAAACCAACATTTGAAATGATAGCAATTATTACAACAAACCTTTCTTTATCGCATCATACAAGCCCAACATATACACCTCTCATGATTATGTCTCTCTTATTTCATACAAGTTATAATACAAAAATCAAAGCCCAATTATACTAACACATAGCAATTACTCAGGTTCGAAGACAACACAAAGTAGAAACTCTTTCTAAATATTTTAAATAAGAATCTGAAATCAAAACTCACCTTGAAATCAAAAAAAGACGATAACTTTAAACAACAACAAATTTCAGTTAAAATCACTTAAGGTTTCTTCCTCCTCCCTTCGGTTTGCTCGAACCACAAATAACACCCCAACCCTTTCTTCTCTCTTAAGTCTTTTATCTTTCCCAAAAAGGAAAATATCTCACATGCAAATAAATAAATAATATATATATATATATATATATATATAGGGGAGCGATCAAATGCAAACCATTCAATTTGTACAAACCGTGCAAACCTCATTCAACCAATCATAATTTTTTATTTTGTTCATTTTTTGTAATTATGAGAGGTTGATTAATCATTTTTATTGTGGAGGGTGTTAATCATAGATATTATCATCTTCATTATTTTAATTTTTAGAGAAATACATGAAACAGTTTCATTAATTTTAGAAAAATACATGAAACAGTTTCATTAAGTATTATATAAAACAATTTCACAACCATATATGAAACAACTTGATCAAAAAAAGTATTATATGAAACAATTTCATGAAAAAATTTCATAAGATTAAACAATGAAATTGACGGATGAAGTTGGTTTGCACGGTTTACACAAATGAGGGCGGTTTTTATTTGATCACTCCTATATATATATATATATAAATAAAAGAAGAGGCGGCGGAGAAAGTTGATATTTTAAACTAAGTTTAAAAATACATCCTCAACTTTCACAATATTTAAAAACAACCCCAAAACTTCCATCAACTAAAAACTCAGTTATAACATCTTATTAAGCTCATTAAGCTGCTAACAAATAGATCTTAATCGAACTTTGAATCGATGGTCTATGAAAAACGAATTGAATGCCTTACCGTGTAAAATGCCCATCAAAGTTAAGAAAGTACACCTTTTTAATACATAAAAAGGTGAAATAAGTCGACCAATTTTTAACTTTTTGTCATTTATACCAAAAAGACAAAATATAGTGGAGGTAGGTAGAGCTATGAGCGAGAGGAGCCTGGTGGTGCGATGGGCCGATGACAATCGATAGCGATTGATTTTGTAGGTGTGTCAATTTTGTATCATGACAAACCAACAATTTTCATACCAACTTAGTTGGTACCGATGTCATTGGTTGGTACTACCATACCAACTATCTAAATTTGGTTGATACGTGATATTAGAAGTCGCGTACCATGGTAATACCGTGCCTTACCAATTTATTTTTTAATTATTTATTAATTAAAGTTTAATCAATAATCCAACATATTCTGACTTTAAATTTTAAATTATCCTATTTTAAATTTTGCTTAATTACAATACGAATAGATATATAAAACTTGATTAAATTCATTTGTCTAACTCTAATAATCTTAAATGTCTGTTTGTGTTAGATTATAAATGGTACAACACATATCAACACATTCAAACTCGATAGTTTTAGTGCATCTAGATCTACATTTGGTAAAGATGTCAATTTAAATAAATTTATAACTTCAACTTTTGCGACGTTGGTAAAAACCGTAACAACTGAAAAAGGTTAGTACTAATTTAGTTGGTACCAAGTATAATTAGTTAGTACATGATACAAATTTTTTTACATACCAATTATAATTTATTGGTACAAAATATATGAAAGAAAAAAACACATGGTATCAGATCCACCCCTAGATTTCGATAGGGTTAAATTGTTATTTTCAAATTAAATTTTTTCTTAATTAAGTTTTATATTTCACAAAAAGTTTCAGCTGAATTTAATATATCTTTTGATTATAGATCTTTAATATTTAGAACTACACACGAAAATAAAATAGTTAGTTATTTAATCTAGGATTTTTATATAAATAATATTAAGTTAAAAATTAGGGGTCGTTTATCATATACTTATCTGGTAAGTGTTTATCGGCAAACATTATTACTATCATTTACTTAGCGAGTAAGATTTTAGTCCATCAAAACGGCACCGTATGCAACACTTTACCCGGTAAACACTTACCGTGGTAAGAGTCGTTGCCCTCACTTATCGGGTAAGACTATTGGTTCTTGTCTTGTTCTTACTGGGTAAGATTTTTTGTCCTTATCATATTCATCCAATAATGTAATGTGATTTGGTAAGTGATTACTCTGGTAAGTTCTAACAAAATAATTAATTATTATCTTTATAAGAAAATTATATTATTAAATCAAATACAAATTATTTCGTTATTGAACCTAAATTAAATTATAATAATAAAAATTGAATTAAAAAATTACACAAAAAATAGGAATTTTAAATAGTTAATTTGATACTAATATCRATATATTTTTGTCAAATTTTTATGATATCTTCAAGTTTATATTTTATTCAAAAATAAAAACATCACCGCTTTTTCAAAATCACATAAGACCATACTATAATATTGACTTAGATAATATATATTATATTATAAAACATTTGACAAAAACTCTTAAAAATCATTTTTTATGCATGAAGTATTGTATGTTGATACATATTACTTAAAATTCAATATTACAAATAAAATATACATAAGTACAACTTATTAAAGCTTCATGTTTATCCGCAGTTAGTTACGCGAATTCAAATATGAAGCTTTCATAAGTTGTACTTATGCATAATTTACGTGTAATCTTGATATTTAAGTAATATGCATCGATATATAGTATTTTTTCATACATAAAAAACGATTTTAAGAGTTTTTGTCAAATGCTTTATAATATAGTATAAATATTTTTAAATAAAATACAAATTTGAAGATATCATAAAAGTTTGACAAAAAAATATTGATATTAATATCAATTAACTATTTAGAATTCCTATTTTTTATGTCATTTTTTAATTATAATTTAATTTAATTTCAATAACGAAGTAATTTATATTTGGTTTAATAATATATTTTTCTTATAAAGATAATAATTAATTATTTTGTTAGAACTCAATAATGATCTTAATTATATTTTAGATTTTTTATATTTTAAAATGATGTTTATCCTCTAACTTGTTATATTTATCCACATTTAGTTACGCGAATTCAAATATGAGACTTTAATAAGTTGTATTTATGCATAATTTACTTGTAATCTTGAATTTTAAGTAATATGCATCAATATACAATACATCATGCATAAAAAACGATTTTTAAGAGTTTTTGTCAAATGCTTTATAATATAGCATAGATTTTCTTTATAAATCTTCAAGAAACGTAGATAAATTTTAAATTAGCAATAAAAATCCAAACGCACGCAAATTTTGTCAATTATTTTTTTAAAAGGATAATAGAATTTTAATAATAAATAATACTTTTTCGACAATAAATTGGAGATAACGAAAATTATTAGCCCTTTAAACAAAGTAATTACATAGAGATAATGTTAGGCATTGAAGGAGATTTACTCCATAAATAATCTAAACATCGTTGTCTTTCTCTATCCTCACATCATTTTGACAATGACACACTTATCCTACAACTTTTCCCTTTGTCCCAAGTCAAGGGAATTATGATGCACCGATTATTGTCTCGTCTAAGCTTTATGTCAAAATAAAAAACATAGTGGGATAAAAATAAAAATATGATGAAAGGAGTACATGCACCCCTTTCTTTGCAATATATACTATTCCTTTATTCCAATATTTTATATGATTTAGCATTAATAACGAGAGTTAGGAAAGCAACATTGTATATAAATCGTGGTCTAACTAAAACCTTGCACCAAGAAACAAAACACATTCTATCCATGTGGGACGAGTTGTTACAAAGATGTGAGAATTGTTAGCTCTTTATAAGTCTCAAAAGTGGGCTACCAATAACTTTCATCATGGTTTTAAGTTGGATTCGAAGTTATCAGGCTAGTTCGTTGCTTTGAGTTTTGACGATGACACACTTATACTACAACAATTTTTAATTAATTAAAAAGCTCGCTACATGATTTGATGATAAGATTATAATTTTCGAAATATTTATGTTAATTTTTCAAGGAAAATGATATTGATTTGTAATAATAAGTCGAATTCTTGATCAATTTGACTATAAATATATGAA